ACTTCACTGAATTTTTGTTTAATTACAGCTAGGGTTAAGTGGTTGAAGCATCAGGTCAGAATGGTTATTGTTATTGACTGACCCTTTTATTAAAACTGTGTAACTGCAGTTAATAGACTGGAGGGGTTTTAAATTGGACTTTTTTTCCAAGGCTCATACAATGCTTTGGTTTCTCTAGGTATCTGGTCTACTGGTTCAAGACTACAGCCACGAGTACAGCCACTGGAACTCTGTCAAGTCTCTGGGTCAATGGCTGCAAGAAGAGAAGGTTAGATTGCAAATTAGAAGCTGTGAGAATGCGTGAATGATGAATATGACTTTTCTGTTAATGTAAATCTTACCCTCAAAAGGTTCCTGCACTGTTTGGGATAGACACCAGGATGCTGACCAAAGTCATCAGAGATAAGGTACCACAATTAGAAAGACTGTATCTGTTTCATGTTTAATGAATGAGTCGGTCAGTTTCTGATATGTTTGGCTTGTGGTTTCTCTTAAGGGAACAGTTTTGGGGAAGATTGAATTTGATGGTCAGCCTGTCGACATAACTGACCCCAATCAGAAAAACTTAGTAGCAGAAGTTTCAACCAAGGTAACAACTGCCAATTTTTTTTATTTTTTTTTTAATTTAACGATAATATCAGATTTAAAAACTCCTTTTGTTTAGATATTTTGAAATGGCACTAACCTCTTCTTGTCATGCCTCTATACTCACCAGGAAGTCAAAGTTTTTGGAAAAGGCAACCCAATTAAAGTGGTGGCTGTCGACTGTGGCATTAAACATAACATAATTCGACTGCTGGTTAAGGTGAGAGTTGCGTGAAACATCCTTGTTGGACTGTGTGCGTTCCATTTGGAGACCTTGTTTTTGTGACTTAGCCCCAAATGACCTCCTCTGCATAAACGCAGAATAAAAAAGTCAGCGCTCTGTTACATGCTTTCTGCAACCTGACCTAGAAATTTTGAGAAAGTAAATCTGGGCCTAATGAGCTCCAGAAATGTAAAATTTGTTTGTGGCATGGAGATTGGTAAGAGAGTGGGTTTTCATCATGTTTGTACTCAAAGTTAATGACTTGTGATATTTGCTTTTAATTGGATTGGTTATAACATTGTATTCATTGATTTGCTCTTATTCGTTACACTCAGCGTTGACCCTTCTCTATGTTTTCTTTTTGTTCTATTTTTCAGTATTTTTTTATTTTTTATTTTTTTTATTTAAACAACATTACATGTTTGGAGATTATAAACCATAAATGTCAGAGTTCTCATTATGACATTATGTCTATTTGGTGTTGTCTGTAGTTATTTTTACAGCTAGGGGGATAAAATAAATGTCATCTTCTGCTACTTTGATTTTACATTCATTTGACATTTTAAGTATACTCAGAAGATTACAAAATAACTACATTTGTGCTTTTGTGCAGCGAGGTGCAGAAGTCCACCTAGTGCCGTGGGACCAGGACTTGCTTAGTCTAGACTATGATGGCCTGTTCATATCTAATGGACCAGGAGATCCATCTCTGGCCAAGACACTCATCAATAACGTGCACAAGGTAGGATGCTTCACAAATGTTTATGTGAACTGAGAGACTTGAGTATTGATTCGCAGGTTTAACAAGGAACTAAAATTGTTGCAGAGCTCTATCTATATAATATTTAATATATTTGTTTCAACAATTTCTTTTCATAACTGTGTTTATAGCTCCACCATTGTTTCTGTAATAATATTTATTTTGAGAAGGTGCTGGAGAGCGATCGTCCCCAGCCAGTATTTGGGATCTGTATGGGCAATCAGATCACTGCCCTGGCTGCAGGAGCCAAGTCATACAAACTACCTATGGGCAACAGGTGACCAATTTAACAGCCAATCATAAATATGATACAGCGTGCTGTATATGCTCTGCATTCAGATAAAGATTTCAGTCTAAAGTGTAACCTGTCCGACAGAAAATGTAATGAAGTAGATGATGTGTTTTATTCATTTCCGTGGGTCCCCAGAGGCCAGAACCAGCCGGTGTTGAATGTGATGACGGGCCAGGCCTTCATTACCGCACAGAACCACGGTTATGGCATAGACAGCGAGTCCCTGCCCCCAGGGTGGGGCCCGCTTTTCATCAACGCAAATGATGGCACCAATGAGGTTGATTTCAGTCTGTGTGAATATTCAGTCTTTAACAGGACTTTTTTTCCTAGGCTTTGGCTATAAAAATAAAGAAATAAACAATTCTTTTACAGCAATAACTGAAGCAAATACAGGACTGTATGATGTTTACACTAATATTTTGGAAAGATGCATTTATTTTCGAAATGCTAACAGTATCTTTCATTTTTTTTAAATATATACATAATTTCATGATTTTTATTTCACAATTTCCAGGGGATCATGCACAGCACTAAACCTGTTTTTACAGCCCAGTTTCACCCTGAGGCTAAGGGCGGTCCCACGGACACAGAGGTAATTAAAAAAACTTGATGGTGCTGCATGAAGTACCTGAACACTATACTCCAGCTAATTAAAGTATATTCACAAAATGGAACTTGCGTAAAACTTTGAGCTCTATTCTAAAATAGTACTTGTGTAAATGTTGTGAATGGTTTGGTTTGGAAAAGTGATGTGGTGTCCAGGTAGCAATAATCAGTCAGACCTCAGAAGTCATCAGGTGCAGATCTTTTAACTGTTCTTAGAATCTGATCTAAGTAAGCTGAGGGTGATGTTAGTTGCATAGCCCTGCGACAGACTGGCGACCTGTCCAGGGTGTACCCCGCCTCTCGCCCTATGACAGCTGGGTTAGGCTCCAGCGCCCCCCGCGACCCTGAAAAGGATAAGCGGAAGCGAATGGATAGATGGACGAATGGCATACTTTTGCATTAGAAGATCATTTATTCAGCACGTTTGTCTTGATCTCAAAGATCTGTCACTTTAGTTAAATTGAATTCAGATTCCATGTACATTTTAGCCAGAATTTAGCCTTTTGTTTTAACTAATATAGGGGTTTGGCTCCACAACGATTAACAGGAGACCATTAAAAAAAAACCCAATATCGTTAATATAATACTTAAACTGTGATTATAAGGCTTTTTTTTTTCTCCCCCACAGTTTCTCTTTGATGTCTTTTTGTCCCTGATCAAAAAAGGAAAGAATATCAGCATAGCGTCAGTCATGCCCATAAAACCCAGCATCCCTCCCAGGGCCCAGGTAGAGTATTTCACCCAGGTTGAGCAGGTTCAACTTCAAATATTCTGAACATAAGAGACTTTTATATCAGTCATTTAGTGGAACCTGCTGTTTAAATGGTGCCAATCACACCTTTTTGTGTCGACGCAGGTTTCAAAGGTGCTTGTATTGGGTTCTGGTGGCCTCTCTATTGGTCAGGCTGGTGAGTTTGACTACTCTGGATCTCAAGCCATCAAGGCCATGAAGGTCAGAGCATCTGGATGAATTAATCATTTCTGTAGCCAATTAATAATACTTTAATATGGTTGTGAATGAAGGCATAGAAGTGTGTTTCATGTGACTTTATGTGTGAGAGTCGATGCAGACGTTTTTTTTTTTTTTGTTTTTTGTTTTTTGTTTTTTTGAAAGTCATATTATATTATATCTCCTGTCTAAACACTGATGATGATCCAATTTGTCTGCATTTTAATTCATGGACTTTTAAATGTGTCTTTTATTCTGCTATACTGTCCTTATATTGGGTAGTTATATTGCAGTAGCTTATTTCATCGATGAGCTTGGCAGCTTTTTCCCTAATTACGTGGAACACTGGGATTTTAGTTTATCTAATTAAGATCTAAAAATGCTGAGCAGGCCCAGTTGATTGTGATTTTTCTTTTTTTAATCAATATGGCAAGATGAGAATATTTAAATGATAATGAAAGATGGTTCATTATTTGGACACAGATGCAGGAGATTCACTAGCTAATACTGCTCAATGGGCAACTGTGACTAAACTTGCATTTGGATTAAGCTCTGTAAAAAAAGGCAAACGTAAAACGAGTTTTTCATGGACAGAGCACATTTGATAACTGCAATTCTTGTGCATTATAGTTGGTATGCATTGAAAAAACAGTAAATCCTCCTTAGATAACTGTGACTTTTTGATAATTGCATAGGGACCAACACTATAGTACTGCATAAACCGCTCACTTCAAGAAATAAAACATATTTGAGGAATTAGTGGAATTTAAAAAAAACAAAAACAACAGGCAGTGATCTGCAGAGACGTGAAAAAGGTTTATACCCAGATGAGTTCCGTGGCGGCCTGAGTGCTTGACCCCAACAATGACAGCATTTGGTGCCACCGTGCTTATACTGTGGGGGGCCGTTTTGTGCCATAGGTTAGCTCCACTTATCCATTACAGGGAATGGTCACTGCAAATGAAAACAAAGTTGTACTGAGTGACCCCCTTTATCCTTGGATGTAACATTTTTATTCTTGTGTAAATACTCTCTTCTATGATGACATAGGGCACAGCAATATGAATTTCATGCTGTGATATTTGCAGTCAGTAGATCTTAACCCAATTAAATGGCCACAGGACATTTTGACCAACCTGTTAGAGGTCAGCCTGTAAAAGGAATATCTTTTAAAGGAATGATTTTCCTTCCCTCTGTAGCATTCCAGAGACTTGGAAAAATAAATGCCAAATTGCATTGATGCTGTTGTGCTGTGTCTTAGGTGTTTGCTTTTACTGTAATTTGTCACTATCTCTGGGCCCCATGTTCCAATTTTTGAATGGACTTTTATGAAAAATAGAGGGAATCATTTTTTTAATATAAAGTTTGGTATAATAAAATATAAATGACAGCAATATGACAATGATAAAATTAATGAGGACTGAATTCTATTTAGCATTTGAATTGGGGCACAGAATTGAGCAGAGCTGCTAATGTTGTTAGTAACACTTGCCTCTTGTATCTGAGATATGTGACAGGCCTGGAAAACACTTTAGAACATCTAAAATGTCAGACATGACGTAAAAGTGTCCCTGAAGACTTTTTGTCATGGGTGAGTTTGCTTTTAATAATTTCCCTTGCGGTCATACAGGAGGAAAACCTGAAGACGGTGCTCATGAATCCAAACATAGCCTCCGTTCAGACCAATGAAGTGGGCTCCAAGCAGGCTGACTCAGTCTACTTCCTGCCTGTCACGCCAGAATTTGTAACAGAGGTCATCAAGACAGAGCGTCCAGACGGCATCCTGCTCTCGATGGGTGGACAAACTGCACTCAACTGTGGTAAGATGTGCACAGTTGCTTGATTAGTACGTGTAACTGACCAAAGGGAATGAAAAATGCAAATGTGTCCCTTTGAAATTCAGTTCAAATGTTACGTCTAAGTCTTCTATTATATTAAAAACCTTTTGTATTATATATTTTATATTATATCAAAAATCTTTTACCTTAAAAAGGTAAAACATATATAATAGATATAATATAAATGTGTTATATATACATATGTGTGTAATTTATTTAGACATATATATATATATTTTTTTTTTTTTTGTGTTTAACCATGCATCTGTAATTTGTTTTCAGGGGTAGAGTTATTCCAGCGTGGGATCTTGGACCAGTATGGGGTGAAAGTCCTTGGAACCCCTGTGGAGTCCATAATGGCAACAGAGGACAGGCAGCTTTTTGCTGACAAACTAATGGAGATCAATGAGAAAATTGCACCTAGTATTGCTGTTGAGTCGGTAAGGACCCATGTCCAGTTGCCGAAAAAAGTGTTCTTGAGCGATACGTTTGGTAACTACGTATAGAAGATACTAAAATATCCTGTCAGCTTGTAGTCTACCACTAATTTCTTGATTCCAGCATTTTGTTAGCGTAAAAAAAAAAAAGAAGTCATTGACATTACTTATATTGGAGGTCTTGTGTTTGTAATAGTTCTATAGTGGTTTAAAGCCCGTATCAACAGTTTTTGTTATGGGAAGCGTAACATTTATGTGCATCCTTCAGGTGTCTGATGCATTACGAGCAGCAGAGCAGATAGGCTACCCGGTGATGTTGCGATCGGCGTACGCTCTGGGGGGTCTGGGCTCTGGTCTGTGTGCCAATAAAGAAAAGCTGGAGGAAACTGCCCAGAAGGTCAGAAAAAGCAGACGCTTATCAATAGCTAATGTTTTTTTTAAATTTTTTATTTATTTATTTTTTCTCTCACTGGTCCTTTTTTCTCCTGGCATTTAAGCAAACATTCAAAATCTTTTGTCCAAATCAATCAGAGCATTTATACCTAGGCTTACCATGTTTTTTTCCTCTTTTTATACCTTTTCTCGAGTTTACAGCATGAACCTGCACAGAAATAATACCTTTTGAAATTGTTCAGATACATTTCTTTGGTCCTGTGCCAAGAAAGGAATAGTTTTCTGTTGCTAAGCAACATTCTTTTGTGCTCTTCCCCTTTTCAGCATTATGTCTGACAGCTCAATTGGTTCTAATCTATGATCACAGGCTTCAAAATGAACCGCTTGTGCCAGACTGTGTTAGATTGGTGCGTGCTTGCTTTTTTTTTTTTTTTTAATGCTTAATGTTTGTGCTCTTTTTAAGTATTTCTTTGAAGCTTACTTTAGTTATTTATTTATTTTTGGTTTCATTTGGAAGTTTCAATGGCAAGTGCATTGGTACCAATTATACTCAGCAGCTGTTCACCTGGTTTGTATCAAGGGCAGTTCACCAAGACAAGAATGCAAAACAAAAACCCCAAGGTAGACAGTCCTTTAACCTGGTCTGGCCTTGTCTGTTATCAAAAAGAGTTTGATAATTGTTTCAGTGCAAACTGTCCTAATAGATTACTACATTTAGTTTGATTCAACAAAGCATCTTAGCTATCGACAAACCAGAAGGACAGTTTGCAATGAAACAATTCTAACCCTTATTTTGATAACTGACAAGGACAGACCGGCTATAGGGCACATTTATCGCATTCTGAAAAGCATCTTCTCTGTGATTGTCACTGTGATTTGGAAGTTTGCATTACAAAGATAAAACACTATTTAAAAAGACCAAAAATCCTTACTACACAAAACACAAACTTTAGTTTGATACATTTCAGTATGGATGTCCTGCATTTACTTCTACTGCATTTACTACTACTAACTACTTAAACTACTAACTACTTAAACTACTAACTACTTAAACTTACTTACTTAAACTTTAATATATAGGTATTAATTTCTTTCCGCTTCAGTTTGATGATTGTAGTGAAACACACATCTAAATTGTTTAAGCTGTTTATGTATCGTAGGCTCTGGCCATGAGCAATCAAATCCTCGTGGAAAAGTCTTTGCTTGGCTGGAAAGAGGTGGAATACGAGGTGGTACGAGACGTTGCTGATAACTGTGTCACCGTCTGCAACATGGAGAACTTCGATCCACTGGGCATCCACACAGGTAGGTACTAATCTGTGGCCCTTTTCAAACCATGAAAGGCTCTTTCTTATTATTTTTGTGAAAATTTTTTTATTTGTTTCTCTCTCAATCTCCATATCTTTGACCACACTTCACCTGTCTTTTGAGGGTTTTTTTTAAATTTTTTTTTAAAATTTTATTAAATTAAAGCTTCTGCAGAAGGATCATTGTGCTCTGACACACAAATTATTATGTGCAGGTCGATAAAGAACTGCACTCAGAGGTATTTACTGGTACTCCATTGGGAGCCAGCACAATAAGGACATACTGACCTTGAAGCTGGACAGTTACAAGAGCACACTGGTTGAAACTAACGACACAGTTGCTCCCTATTCACCTGGCATAAACGTAAAACATTGACGCAATGACAAAAGAGAGATATTTGTTTCCCAGATTATTGAAGATAATCAAATTTCTGAGAGTAAACAAATTAGAAGTTAGTTCAAGTTAAAGTTCGGTTGGTTAACTGTTTTCTCCGGCGTAGTTCAGAGCCGGGCTGAGATGTGTAGCAATCACTGGGTCTTCACTTAGGGATTATGCGGTCTGCAGGCCTCAAATTATATTATTGTAGTCATTCAGGTAGTTTGGCACTCTAGCCAGATTTGATGGAGCAATGCTGGTCGGCAGCAAGCAGCTGTTGGTCACTGGATAATTTGTACATATGCCTTTATTGGTTGTGATCCAATAAACTGAAGGTAAATGAACAATTTGACATACAGTGAGTTGTATAAAGAATAACATTTTAAATTTACTCTTGCTCACCAGCTCTCTCGCTCCCTCACTCTCTCTCTCACTCTGCCTATGAGATCAACCAACACATGTAGCTCAAATCAAAGCCTCTGTGAATTCTCATGGTTCAGTCACGGTTTATCTTAAAATAGTTATGCATGTCTTTGGAATTACAGCAACATAATTTTATTGTATTTTATGTTCATTTTCTATTTACTCTTGGTAGTAATATATGGTAGTGTAAATTGGTAGTGATATACTGAAATATATAAAGAATTGTAGGGACTGGCAGGATTACAGAAATATTAACCATTTTAATAGAAAAATTGCAAAATAAAATGATGATGATGATGATGATGATGATGATGATGATGATGATAATAACTCAATAAAGCCAATGCAGTCTGTCCACTTGTGGTATGCAGGCTTATGTTGGGTGCATAAACAGATGTCTGTGTTTGCGCAGCTCTTTATTGGCCTGCACATACTTTGCGTGTCCGTTCACGCTGATCCTTCTGCAGAATTTGGGCGGATCCTCCCAAATTCCATTGCAATTCAGATTTGTCACTTGAGATTATCCTAAGGCCAATCTTGTGGTGTGCTAGTTTATAAGATTAAGGTGTTTTATCCTTTCATTTTACCGTACTGAAGTGCAAGCAGTGTTCTTCATGCTGTCTGAGCTGTCGCAGGAAGTCTGATTTTGATAACCTCTGTACATTTGCCTGTCATTTTATTTTTTTCCCACGCTAGATTATGCAAATACCACATGTTACATGGATTTTTTTTTTTTTTTTTTTTTGTGATTAGTGTGATTTAGACTCATTCTCTATGCATGGTAGTTCTGATTACCATCATTACTCCCCCCCCCCCCCCCATTTATGATTGACTAATTTTCCTGTACTTCCTGTGTTGTTGTTGTTGTTGTTGTTGTTTGTTGTTGTTGTTGTGGTGTGTGGGTTTTTTTTTTTTGTTTTTGTTTTTTTCTCCCACCTCTTAAACATCACAGTCAGATTTTCCAGGTCCTCTGGCTGTTCCTTTCCATGTGGATCCATAATGCATACACACGTCCCAAACTGAGTACTGGTGTTCTACAGATCATTGTATAGTTATGCTTATGCAATTAGATGCAAAACACGTGTGATTTAGCATGAGATGATGTATGATTGTAACTACAGGTGTGTAATTTGAATTGATAAAAAAAACAAACACTCCCTTTGACAATTCAGAAGTGATTGTCATTGGGAGGTGATTTTATTTATTTATTTATTTATTTATTTATTTATTTTTGAATCACTGACATTGAAGTGAAAATGCACGGTGGTGCACTCAGTTGTAGACGTTCTGCAGAGCTGTTGTCCTTGTCCTGTTTTGGTAGGAGAGCACAGAGTATCAATATTGTGAGGAAAAAAAGTGTTGGGTTTGAGTTCTGCTCTTATTGCCAGCATTAAGGCTGGTTTAAGTGCTTCTCACAAAGTCCACTGTATAAACAGGCAAACAGGTGTGTTTTCAATTTAAAGACACACTTTTTTTGGTCTCATGGCTTTTTTGTTTTCCTCTAAAAATGAATAAGGAAAAACATGAGATGACTGTAAATAATTTTTACAGTCTCTAATGTTTTAAAATTATTGTATGTAAAAGTTTCTCTAATTTAAAAAAAAGAAAAGAAAACAACCCCGCTACAACCACTCCATGGCTTTTAAGTGACACGTTTACTTTTTCTGTCACTTTCACTTAACTAAAGCCAAGTTTAGATATATATTTATTATTCGTTAAAGCGAATCTTAGTCTGAACAACTTCTGAACAACACTTCTTTTACAGGTGACTCCATTGTGGTGGCACCAAGCCAGACATTATCCAATGAGGAATACCATATGCTCCGTGAAACTGCTATCAAGGTGGTACGTCACCTTGGCATTGTTGGCGAATGCAACATCCAGTATGCCTTACACCCATCTTCTTTGGAGTACTGCATTATTGAGGTGAATGCACGGCTATCGAGAAGCTCAGCTCTTGCATCCAAAGCAACTGGGTAAGTTGACACCTGAAACAGGCTCTTTTAAAGCAGAGTTATGAACTCATGCGGCAGAAGATAAAAATGCACGTTAACACATCAAGAGATCTTAGATATTTATGTATGACAGACTATTGAGGTAATAAAACATTAATTTTACACTGTACTCACTTTTTAACCTTTTTTTTTTTTTTTTTTTTTAAAACAAATTATGTTTTATAAAATATTCTTGCACTTTTGTCCATCGTTATTTGATTTTGGTCTCCCTGCACTCCGGTCCTGGTTTCAGTTACCCCTTGGCATTTGTGGCTGCTAAGCTGGCTCTGGGAATCCCCCTGCCTGAGATCAAGAATGCTGTATCAGAGAAGACCACAGCCTGCTTTGAGCCCAGTTTAGACTACATCGTCACCAAGATTCCTCGCTGGGACCTCGACCGCTTTCACGGCATGTCTCGTGAAATAGGCAGTGCCATGAAGAGTGTAGGAGAGGTGGGGCTAAACATTTAACCGCTCACTCGGTTACTCAGCGTTCTGGCAAGCCAATTATTCCATCGTGTGTTTTCTTCCTTTGCATCCAGGTGATGGCAATAGGCCGTACGTTTGAGGAGAGTATGCAGAAGGCCTTAAGGATGTGTCATCCATCAGTAGATGGCTTTGTGCCCCAGCTGCCACTCAAGAAGCCGTGGTCCGACACCCACGATCTAGAACAGGAGCTGGCTGTGCCCTCCAGCACCCGCATCTTCTCCCTCGCTAAGGTACAATTATTCTTCATTACATTAATAATAAATGACACTCACTATAGTTTGCTCATTAAAATCACATTTTGTAGTGTTGCTGGAAAAAAAAGTCCCTGCATGCCTAGCTATGAATGCTTAATCCTGTGGCTGTACTCGTCACTTAAATTTTGATTCAGTTAAACAGAGCTGACAGTATGGCTCTTCAAATATATTCCAGAGAGAGGAAAGATGGATCGCGCAAACATATACTGCTATGTGTCTGTAGCTTTCCTCATAGAAGCAGATGAAGGTGAGACAGCACTTATAAGCACAGGGTTGAGCTTTATTTTTCAGGCACAAAGATCTTACAAGGTGAAAAACATCTATGGCTCCAGCATATGAACATGTTTTTCATCACTGGTGTAGATGGATCAATTTCCTTAAGTATTGAATGAGATAATTGAGGTGGTGACAGCGTCAGGGATTGATGATCCACATTTGATCTCTAGTCTGTTACATGAGTCTGTAATGCTGCGGGGTGGTCAGCATAGCTACTGTCACTCAAAGCTAAACTGCCTGCTATCCACATGATCTCAGACTGTTAGAAGCTCAAACAGTTTGAATGGTTTTAGTTTTACACCTGTACATCTTGGGGACATTTTCTTTGTTGTGTGTAAAGCAAAAAACAAATTGCATCAACTGTAAGAGACTTACAGCCAGATGTAAAGGTGCAAGACACGACACATTGCAACACAACACAGTAACTTAACTTAGTAATAATGTTATGTTAACATTGTGGAGGTATGTAATAACGACAGGAGAGGTCTCTGTGTCTCACTCCAACTTTATTAACTGACTCTCAGAACTTCACATATATTGAGCGCCAAAATCTCCACCCCAACACTTCCCTTCAACTTGGGTGAGAGTGGAGCCACCTGGTGGTCCGCCACACATACCCCCCCCGAACACACAGTTAGGTCTCTATTCAGTCCAGGACCCTGGGTCTAAGCAAACGACCCGAACGACTGAACCTGGGAGGGAGAGAACAGGCAGAGGAAGGTCCATCCTGCGAACGAGGCTGGTGAAGGCGAGCAGGAAAGGCAGGAGGAGGCTCAAACGCCAGTGGTCCGGGGGTAGTCCTGGGGGGAAAACCAGAGTCTGTCAACCCCATTGAAGGAGGGCGGCCACGGCGAGGGGCCTGGGCCGGCACTACATTACTGTCCGGAAGAACATGTGCAGGTTTAAGTCTGTCAACACAAACAGTCTCCCTTCGACCCCCAAAATCCAAAACAAAATGTTTCTGGCCCGGTTCAATAACCCTGAATGGGCCGTCATACAGCGGCCGCAGCGGTGTCCTGTGGGCATCGTGCCTGACAAAAACAAACTTAGCAGTCTCTAAAGTCTTTGGAACAAAGGTGTCAGGCACGCAATGGTGCACCGGACCAGGAACCCGAAGCGAGTGCAAAAGCGGGTTGAAAGATAGCACCGATGGATCGAAGCAGGGAGGAGGATTTTCGGGCAAGAATTCTCCAGGCACGCGGAGGGGCTGACCAAACACCAGCTCAGCTGGGGAAGCGCCGAGATCCTCCTTAACCGCAGAGCACAGCCCAAGCAAAACCCACGGAAGGCGGTCAACCCAATTGCCATCCTTTAAGGAGGCGCGAAAAGCAGCCTTAAGCGACCGGTGGAACCGTTCACACATCCCATTAGCTTGCGGGTTGTATGCGGTTAAGGAGTAATCTTGTTTTCTAAATTCAAACGTACCTTTACCATTAAAGACTGTCCTTAATTTTTTTTTTTTTAAATTTTTTTTTTAGTGTATATTCATAGCACTCCTTCTTATGCATTTCATGCATGTGTTATTTTCAGACATATGGGGGTTATGTTACCCTCCCCCCCCTCATCAGTAATGATCTAGTCCGGTATTCACTTGGGCGTAACTTAGCCAATTAACCAATACCTACCTATTATAGGTCAGCTGACCTATCTATGAAGTTTTAACTGGTTAATTTGAATTTTTTTTTTCTGTTTCCTGTCTTGTATTTAAGCAATTTTTCACAATGTTTTACTATGACCCTGATGAAGGCCACAAGCCGAAACGCGTTGGTCAATTATTAAAGTTGTTCATCTTCCCTCAAGTGTTGCTGGAGTTCCTGCTTTGTGAATTCTTTCATCCTCTTCATGCACCTTGGAAGCAGGTGAAGTTGTGCCAGAATTTTTTTTGCTGCGCTTTAGTCTGTTTGTCCAGGACCTCAGCAGCCTGAATCTCTTGCCAGACGGCAGCAGCTTAAACACCCAGTGTCCTAGGTATGCACAGTCCTGAAGGATGCTGTGTGCCCTCTTGAGACAGCGAGTGCTGTACAGATCCTTCGGGAAGGGAAGAGGATGCCTAATGAGTTTTTTGGGCCATATTAATGACCTTCTGGACTGCCTGTCTGTGTGCCATAGTGCAGCTGGAGAACCACACACTGATGCAATATGTCAGCACACTTTCAATGGAGCAGTGGTAGAAGACGCTCAGCAGCTCCTTCAGGTCCATTTTTCTGAGGATTCTCAGAAAGTGGAGACGCTGTTGGGCTTTCTTCAAAACCACAGAGGTGTTTGAGCTCCATTGGAGGTCTGGGTCTATGTGCACACCCAGGAACTTGAAACTGGAGACCCTTTCCACACACTCCCCATTGATGCTGACAGGCTGCAGCTCAGACTTCCACCTTCTAAAGTCAACTACCAGTTCTTTTGTCTTGGTGGTATTGAGGTCCAGGTTGTTGTCTACACAACAGTCTGACCGCCTCTGAACCTCAGCCACGTACGCCGTCTTGACACATCAACTGTTAGGTGAGCAGTTCTCAGTGCTTCACTGCAAATGTAATATAACTATACTTTTGTTATTCCTAAGTGTTTTTGTCTGCATGCACAAATGCAACAACTGAAAACATTCTTTTTTTTTTCCTACTTTTGGCATCCTTGCTTCACGATGTACTACATTCAAGTGCGTGTAGGGTATAGATGACTTTCCAGCCTACATAAATTTTGCAAGGCATCCCAGCCTGTTTTGGAAATGACTATATTGGTCTGCTCTTTGTAGGTATTTATCATGGTTGATAACTTGGTGCACCAGATGGTTTGTTACAGATAACCTTGGACTTTCTGGCAAGTTGTCCTTGGAAACTGTTTGTATGTGTGCGCAGATTTTTAAGATTTATTTTTTGGCTTTTTGCATTTATTAGATAGTGACAGTTGGAAGACAGGAAGGTAGGAAGAGCGAGAGGGGGACGACATGCTGTAAATGACCTGGGGCGCTGCTGTGAATAAAAAGCCTTCAGTACAAGGAGCTTGCACACTATCAGCCTGACACTTTAGACACTTTATTTCAGATAAAATACTTATTTTTCTTTTAGATGAAATGTTGCAATAATACTCTGTATTGTTCATGCACTTGATTTACTTATAATACACTAGAGATCACTGGGTTATTGGTTGCGTGGTTTTTCTCATGAGCAGCCTATCACAGAATAAAATCAAATTTTAAAACTCTGACCAATTAAACGCATGTCCGAGTTTCGTAATACTCGTAACAATGGAAGATCATGATGATCCCGTTCTTTGTTTCTTGCTTTTACTTCTCAGGCCCTCTACAGTGGCATGATGAGTGTTGATCAGATCCACCAGCTGACAGCCATAGACAAGTGGTTCCTCCACAAACTTCATGGAATAACAAACGTGGAGCAACATCTTGCAAACTACAACAGGTAAAGCATGCGGAGTGTTTATTCAAGTAACTTGAACTTACTTAAATAGATATGTATATTTAGAGGGGAAAAAAAAAAAAAGTAGATGTGCCGTCTATTTGTTTATGGGTGTGGATAGAAACATGAAAAACTGTGCCCACAAATTAGATAAGCCCCAGTCTCTTTAGTCTCTGTGTCTGTCTCCTTTCACTCTTTCTCAGGGTTCCTCGCAACTACCTTTCTCCATCTCTTTCTCTTTCCTGTCCTTCTGCCCTTCAGCTCTTACCTGGACAGCCCAAATCCAAGCCTTTGTGAATTATCATTGCTCAGCCACAGGTTACCTGGTGCTTTCTTCCCACTCTGCTGTTTAATAATTAATGGCTGGCCGTTTGGTGGGCACCCACTGCTACAGCCTGACACACGGCGTGTTGTTGTAGTTTTCACTTCTTCTGGAGCAGGGGACATGGGGATGGGCAGAAAATGTTAGTCTGCTGCCAGACTGATGGAGTATGGTGCTGAGCACGGGTGGGCTTCATGCTCTGCTGCTCAGCAGTCTTTGTGTGCGTAAGATTTTTTTCCCTCTAGATTGAAGGGTAATTACAATTAAATCACAAGGAAAAAATATAATACAACATATTTTAATCCTTATTTGTACACTGCATCACGTACTGCATGCTCTCTTATTTGGTCAGCTGGCTTAGTGAAAAAGGACACACTGGCTGCATAATGTAACTCTGCAGTCCTCTAAGGAGGAGTCGGGCTCAGACAGAACATGTTGAGACTTCTGCAAAAGTTGCTACATTACGCATTATATGCTTTTATGCAATGGTGTTAACATTTCCAAAGAAAGCCTACTTTTGACCATTTGTTCTATTTTTTCCAAAGTTGTTTGCACAAAAGTCAATATGAATATAGTATTGAGTCCTTTTTTTTTTTTTTTTTTTTTTTTTTTATTGGTACTTGCATTTCTATAAATTAAAATTGCATCATGCTGCCATGGATACCTGGGTATAGATAAACCACAGACAGTCCCTAGCAATTTAATGATTTATGCACACAAATGGAAATATAATAATTTAAAACTTCAAGGGAAAGTGAGTTTTTAAAACATATTGTGTGTTCATGTGTCTTTGCAATATGTCAGAATACATGGCAACTTTCTATTCACACATAGCCGCAATGGCTCCGGGCAAGTATATGGTGGAGTGTTTTATTTGTGCGCGATGGTCTATTCACATCGGTTCATGGCATGCGAGGGGCTTTCTTCATTCTTTAAACTGCTTTTCCAGACAAAATTGCTCACAACACAGCCAAGCTTTGGGATCAAATGTCTTTCCTTTGATTCTGACTTGCCGCTCCCCTTTCTTGGGTTTGTTATTTCTCAGCAAAGCCACGTGCAGTGGGAGTTAAAACACACTTGACATTTCCAATATTGTTACGCTATAAGGTTATAAATAATTCAGATAAGGAGCAGGAAGAAAAGGCAGTGGTTTACCAGGAAAATAGAATCCCTTATTGTCTCTACCTTGAGTTAAAGAAATACTGCTACATTTGCTTGTTGCTTTGTATGTGGGAGTTGGATGATAAAGTCAATATCAACTTTATAGCAGCATATTCATCTGTTCAGTTTAACTCATTACTGAATCAGGAAGCAAATGGAAGTTTGCATACCTCCTAAAAAGAATACTTTCAACACTTACAATGTGGTGTTTTTATATTATGTTTTTTTTTAATGTGTGGAATGTTGTATTGTTTTAATGAAGTTTAATATTTTATCATGCACTGGAGCGGTTTTACCTACCACCTCCTCTGTCATTTTACTGCAGTAATGTTGCAATTATAGTTCATGTTTTAGATTGGTTTTTAGCTGGCTAGAAAATTCAATAGAACATGTAAACAAAACAAATTTAAAAGGACCATTTTTCCTTGAGTACTTACTAATAACAGAATCCGTCACACTACCTCAGATCTTGTGATAAGCTAACAGTTATTTTGAATTCTCCCTAGACAGTTTTAAAATTGGGTAAATGCAACCTCAGATGAAATACAAATCCAAAAAGAAACTGAATAATACTAAATATATTACTTTGCCATTGCACATGATTATTGGTCATCATCAGGTGTGGCCGAATCTATGAAGTTTATAGTTTATAAAACAGTTTATAAAACCTGTGGACAAACCTGTATGAAAGCAGTTTGCAGGTCTGGACCATTCAGGTGTGTGTGTGTGTGTGTGTGTGTGTGTGTGTGTGTGTGTGTGTGTGAGAACAAGGACGAAAGACATCAGCAATGATGTGAAAGAGTCACCCTTTGCTGCCCATCAATCTGGGAAGGGTTACGTGGCTGTTTGACATTCATTTTCTTACAGTGAGAATATTCACAAGTGGAAAATTATTTCAGCAAAAAACAGAACAAAACAGTGGAGTGGACGTACTAGCAAATTCAAAGGTCAGACCGTGCAATGCTCAGAAAAACTGGAAAATACCCAAGAGCTGCATCTTAAGACTCTACGGGCCTCATTTAGCATGCTAAATGTTAAAGTTCATGACAGTACAATTAGGAAAAAAAAAAAATGAACAAGTATGGCTTTTTAGGGAGGGTTGCCAGGGGAAAGCCTCTTCTTTAAGTTTGCATGTAAACACACCACAAGACAAGGAACAATGTCCTTTTAGGAAATGAAACCAAAATGGAGATGTTTGTCTATAATGCACAGCACCACATGCAGAGAAAACAAACAAATAAAACCCCATATTGGTATAAACTACTCATACCAGCTGTCAAGAGTAGTGGTGGGGGGCTGGTGATTAAGGTTTGTTTTGGAGCCACAGTACATGGACATCCACGAGCACCTTTTGTATACCAAAGTAGAGTCAATTATGACCTCTATTGGACAGCTAAAACTGCTAGTATGCTTGACAAGTTTGCCAAGCATACTAGCATATTTACAGAATGGCTGAAAAAGAAAAGGGTCGAGGTGTTATAATGGCCCAGATTCAACACTCAACCTGACTTAAATGGTGTTGTTGGACGTTAAGAGAGCTGTGCATAAACGAACACCCAAAAGCCCCTATGAACTGAAGTAACATGGTAAAGATAATGTGAGAGGAGAATGACAGAACGGACCACATCTTCCAAACTTTAACACTACGCAGCTGCGCCACAAACCGCGCCACAAACCACGCCCCGCAACAGATGAGTGGGCAAAGGTTTCTGCACAATGATGTGAGAGACTAGCAGTCACACAGAAAATGATTACTGACAGTTATTTCTGCTGAAGTTGGCTCTACAAACTATTGAAGCACGAGGTGTACTTATTATTTCTTATTCATTTTTTCCCCCTGAATTTTGGTTTAGTGTTTGTCTAAAAAAACATTGTAATGTGTCATGATGTCACACATCTCAGGTTGCCTTTACCTCATCTTTAAGACCTGATATGGACTAAAGAGAATTTTTGTCTTAATGTGTAAAACATTGCTATTGACAGACTATATAAACTGTTTTACCATCACAATAGGTAGTATGCCAACTGATATAAATTTGATCAAAATTATTTTAAAAGGGGATTATTATTATTATTATTATTATTATTATTATTATTAAAGAGGATTTATTGTATCAATAGAAAATTGATATGCAGACTATCAGTGCAAGTAAATTGTGCAAGGCATGGTATCACTTAATAAGTAAAAATGTAAATAGACAAAGGAATAAAAAGGATGTCTTATTCCTTTCTCAGACGTCGCTCTACGTGTTGTATTCCTGATTGTGACTTTTCTGCACACAAACCACATACTCGCTTTACCACGATTCAGAATTCACCTTCCGATTCCCAACTTTATTCCCACTGCTATTTATCTGTGTAACCTTACAGCTCACGTGGAAGTTTTATTGATTCAAATGGGTTTTAAATGGCTGCACTTGCCAGCCTAATGCTCCCACAACTTTGCACCTTGTTTGTCAATTTGTTATTGATTGCTCTGAGGTGGACGCTTCCCTGTGGTCTCCGCTGCTGGGTAAGTGAGCTAGTCATGACCCACTTACTCGATTCACCTTCTTATTTCTATGGTTCTATGGACGTTTTCCTCTTTTTCTCATACTAATGTCTGGCATTTGCAGGGATTCACACTTAAAATGCATCAAACTGTGGACAGTCTTTAAGATTCAGAATGGTTAGCAAAATTGCCTAATTACCTCTGCTGATTATCTTTTCCCACAGTGGCACAGTCCCCAAGGGGATGTTGCTAAAGGCCAAGCAGGACGGCTTCTCAGACCGGCAGGTTGGTCAGATTCTAGGCTGCAATGAGGGAGTAGCAAGAGAGCTGAGGCTCAATTATGGCATCAGACCTTGGGTCAAACAGGTGAGCATTACTGGGCTGATCCTTTTAGTAGAGACCAGATGGGCTCAGATAACTGACTCTGGCTAATCGATATACACACACCTCAACAGAGAAGTATCCTCTGGCTACAAATATATTTAAAAGGGAAGCATAAAAAGTGCATATAGCGAGAGAGTCAGTAAAGTTGTCTTTGCATCTCAGTCTGTATTGACATGTCCTTTGTCCAAATTGTATTTCTTGAAGCAGGTGACTAAATTATTAACATCTGCAAATCCAATTCACCAGCCTGGCATGAAATCTGTTTTTTACAGGGCTGGGACAACAGCAGAGTTCATAAGCGTAAAGGGATGAAGCTGTATCAGCTTCAGAGGCTAACTTTTTAGTAGTCCAAATTTATTTTTGTTTAATACATCATCAGCTAGTACGTGTTCTGTCTTTAACCACATACTGAAGTTAATACACATGATAATCTGTAATTATGCGGTATCGTGGTAAACCTCGTAAAAATGAGCAAATTTCTTCGTTCTGGAGAGAGTCTGCATGCTCTTCAAATGCTTAAACTGGTTTACTCCCATTTTGGCCATTATGATTACATTATAGAGTAGTAGTTGAGAGTTATTTATTTAAATGCCCCATTTTTAACATTTTGTTTTCTCTCATCTTAGATTGACACTTTGGCTGCAGAGTACCCAGCAATGACCAACTACCTGTATTGTACTTACCACGGTCAGGTATGTGGTCTCGGAAAAACAAAGTCGTTTGTAAATATACAATTATTGAATGTATAAAATTGAATTACTGTATCTCTTACTGTGTGATGCACACAGTTTATTTGTTTGCCTACAAACTTTTTTCACTATCAGGACTTGAATAGACAAAATGAACACACAGGAACATCTTAGGCCCGTGAAGGTTCTTATCTAAATCTGATATTATGATGTCATCGTGTGGCCTGGTAGGCATCTACAAATGGGCTAAAATTACCCATTTGTAGCATTTATCCACCTTGAACACTTTGTAAAAGCACATCATTTTAATTTTAAATCCACAAAAATATATAATTATATCACTATGTTGCCTAGCATCAACCTAACAATAGAATAAAATCACAGTCCAAACAATACCTTAGCATGACCAAACACTAGTATATTTACTAGTAAATGCACATATTAATCCACTGGCTGACTTTCTTATTTGTTTTGAGAAGACAATGAAAGAAAATTTGGCAGCAAAATAAGGCTAAAACATGGTTTATGTATGCAAGAGTCTATCGTTGATTTGTCTGCTTCACTAGGAGCACGATCTGGACTTTAAAGACCAGGGAATTATGGTTCTTGGTTGTGGACCCTACCACATAGGTGAGTGTAATAATAAACTGTTTGTTTGTTTGTTGCAATATGTGATAATAAAAATAGCACTATTACTTCTAAGATGTACATTTTTCATTATTTCTCTTGTCTAGTGTTTTTTACCCAGAAGGGATATAACTGAAACTTGCTGCATTTTGTTTCAAGTTAAAACTTTGTAGGATGAAATTTTGAAATTGTGATCTTCCTTTGATGGCCAATCAACCATTTGACCACCAGGCAGCAGTGTTGAGTTTGACTGGTGTGCGGTGTCCAGCATCAGAGCCTTGAGACAAATGGGCAAGAAGACAGTTGTAGTAAACCACAACCCAGAGACGGTCAGCACAGACTTCGATGAGTGTGATCGCCTTTACTTTGAAGAACTGACCCTGGAACGCATTCTGGATATCACCCAGCAGGAGGTTAAAACACTACCGAACACGTGACTTTTTTCATTTGTGGAAATTCAAACAAAATACACATATTTCTCTACTTTTTGTAAACGAACAAATATTTTAATGCAATACAATTAAGACCCTGTCCAAACCAAACATACTACAACTTTAAATGCTGAATTACTGAAAATACCAAAGATAAATGTACTGCCCTGCTTTGATCTAAAACTCTAAGCCTATCACAGCTCAGTGTTGAGGCAGTAGACCCTGGGCAGGTCACCAATATGTTAAAGGGTTTTGTCAATGAAAACGATTATATTCATATGTAAACTGTGGAATCTGATTTAAATATTGCATTGCAACCAATTTAAATTTCCCATAAACAGAGTTATATTGATTAAGTACATGATGCATATTTATTAAAGAAATCAATCTTGACAGCTATATCAAAGGCAGAGTGCACTCGTGGACTTAAATGTTTGCCCGATAATACTGGCAAGTAGATTTATAATCCGAGACCAGCACACAAGCACTCATATAATGGCATAATAACTTCTCTGCACTGCTGAAGAATAATTCTTTATTGAAAAATATATAGAAATCAAACATTAGCAGCATGACTGTGACTTATTACCATGGACTACCCACAGAGTAGATCGCCGCAGTGTTGGAGGAAAAATACCTTCTCTGCTCAGAGTGGCATGGATGAAACATAACCACCACTGTCTGAATTTTCTCTTATTCTTATATATGAATTCAGAAAACAGTTAAGCAAGCAGCTTTGTCACTCTTTATGTGTCACACCAATTTTTGCCTCAAAAACCAGCTTAACATAACTCTTTTAAATGGGGGGGGGAGAATTGGCAGTGAATGGACATTTTGCTTTTGTTGTTTTGCGTGGGTTGTTTTTTTTATTTCTTATGTGTGTGTGTATGTATATAGAGATATAGAGATATAGATATCTAGATATCTATCTCTGCTTTTGGTTTACATAATGCAACATTGCATAATGAAGTTTTTTATTTTTTATTTTTTTATTTTTTTATGGTTATTTCTGGATTTATTGGTTGATCTATGATCCTACTCTTAGTCATGACTAGAAGATGTGGGCAGTAACTGGGGAAAAAAAAAATAAGATGGGTCATACAAGTGGTAGAGCTCAAGTTAGGGTGTGATGCTAGGTCTTTTAGGAACCTGGTCAGAGATGCTGCTGCTCCACATTACGAGGAAGAGCCGAGGTGGATTGAGAATCAGGACTAGGAAATCTTATCGGAGCCCACGTAGGTGATGTGTTTCAAGCATGCCTTACCATCAATAAACCCTAGGGCAGTCTGAGGGCACTATGGACTAACTTGGCCTTGGCAACTCCCAAGATGAGCTAGAAGCAGTGGCTAGGCAGGGGGAGATTTTTGGGGGCTCTGCGTAGACTCTTACCCCTGCAACCTGGACATGGAGAAGTGGTAAATGGTTGTTGGATTGATGATTTTATGAACAAAAACAAATGAACAGTGTATTGTGGACTTTTATAAATAAATTATTTGACAGTTAGCATCCTAAATGTAGCTCACTTCCATCTCCATATTTTTGTACTTGGAGTAAAAGTACTTTGCACGATTCTTAACTTTATATATCTTACTCTGAGCCTTATACAGCCCCTCATCCTGTCTGAAATGAGCCATTTTGGCTCCCATTTAAGCCAACGTTCTTCTGGTTCATTGCCCTTTTGCAAACAAATAATTTGAACAACAGGTGGACAGGGTTACTGTGTCCCTAGCAAGAGCGATGCGCCCTCCGCCAGAGCGATGTACCTGAGATGCCTATATTAAGGATGTCCCGACTCTTTGATGTCATAAAGACTCAAAAGTAGGAAAGGGGAAAAACGGCTTGAAAACTTTTGGCTCACAGACCGACCTCTTCATTTGGCCGTGTGTGTGTGTGTGTGTGTGTGTGTGTGTGTGGCGTAAGGTGACTCAGATGTTGTCAAAGAATATTCAAGGGCAACGTTTCCCTGCTATTTTCAGTGTATAGGTTTGTTGGCACCTGTGTATTTATGTTGTGTTCTGTGTTTGTATACTTGCGTCCGCTGACTTTCCCTTGCAGGGGAAATGTAATCCAGTTAAAGTTGAGATGGGATCAGAGTGTGATTAAGTGTTTGTTTGTTCAGGGAGATAGCATTACCATCAATCCCTCTCTCACAGCTACAGTTTGTATATGTGTGTGTGTGATAAATATGGCATTAGAGCATGGAGATAAACCCTGGACAGGAGCAGGAGAGCAAGGCCATGAATAATGAAGAGATACAACCTGGCATTGCCATGGAAACAGCATCCCCCTTGGATCAGCTAGACAGGAAAAGGGGCTGCACGCTGTTATTAAAAGGAACACACACACACACACACACACACACACACACACACACACACACACACACACACACACACACACACACACACACACACACCTATCTATCTTCCCCGGTGATAACTAAACCCATGGCACGACCAAGATCAACTCTTTGTGCTTGTCTCATATTTTCACTGTGATCAGAGGTCAGAATAATTGAAAGTGGTTTCAGAATGTAGATCTTGGCTTATAGGCAGGGTTTCTCTCCTCCCGTCTTTTCTCCCCTCTTCCTCTTCTTGTTTTAGTATTCTAGTTGATTTAGTGCCTGCTCTCTTTTGCATTCTTCTTATTCTATTTACTCCTCTCCAGGGTTGCTCTGGCTGCATCGTATCAGTGGGAGGTCAGATTCCTAACAACCTAGCCGTCCCCTTGCACATGAGTGGGGTGAAGATTCTCGGGACGAGCCCCCTGCAGATCGACCGAGCTGAAGAGCGCTCAGTCTTCTCCAGTATCCTGGATGACCTCGAGGTTGCCCAAGCCCCATGGAGGGCCCTGAGCTCCCTGGTGAGAGGAAACTCGCAAATTCTGAATTATTGATGTGACAAAGTTGTATAGTAGTACAATGCTGGGATGCAGATTTTTCTCAGCAAACTCTTTACCTGTGGCCCAAGGATCAGTATTATACCATTAATTATTTCTGATAACGGGGAAAAAAAATCAAAATGTATTGAAAGAGGTTTTAATTTTGAGTTGGTGCTTATATATGAGACTTGCCCTAACACATAATGGCACTTCAAATACTAGTTAGCATTCTCAACTTCTTCTTTTTTTCCCTTCAGTTTGTGTGGCACATGCTTTCTCTTATATTCACCATCACAAAATGCAAGAGTGACATTTGCAACTTGTAACTGCAGTTAACAATTTTGAGGCAAAGATTTTAAGACAATATTTTGAGTCAAGGCATGTAAAGACATTTACTTGTATACATTGCTAGATTTATTACAGCTCTGCTGTGGAAAGTGTGTTAATATTGCAGCCATTTAAAAAGTTTTTAGAGTCAAAACATGGTGTAAAACAGTTCCCGGAGAAACTGTAACAAGATTTTGCTTGTCAGCTGAGGCAGAGAACATAAAGTGATTGGAAATTTAGCGTTTTACTTCGTTTCTATAAGACGATCTTGATGGTTTACAGGGAACTCCTATGAATATCAATCATAGTGTTTGGATGAGAAATTTCGAAACTATGAAAAATATTAAGATCATCAAACCCCACACAGAGTGTACTGATGCACATATTTGACCATGGAAATGCCTTTTTTCTGATTTATCAATTAGCATTATTTTTTATATTTAGAATTTTCTACACACATGCTTATTATTTCTAAAATATATTCCTTACAAAGGTACTATTCACTACTACGTGCATGTCTTTTTTTTAGTCTTTTTCTTGTAATTGGCTGGCTATACTCACTCCTGGCTCCATCTGAATGAAACACTGGCAGACTGCTCTGTGGAACATGCGGAGCACTGTGGAAATATGTCTGCAGTCGGTGCTAAAATGTCTCTTCCATTACCTTTGCTCTTGTATTCAGTTACCACTGAGGAGTGATTATCTAGTTCACACACACAGATAGAGTTCCTTCTCTCCAAGGTTTGCGTATATTCTATATTCATGCCAGTCTTTGAGAAACGGTTTGTTTTTAATTGGCTGGAATAACTCCAGGAGAGCCTCAGGGAGATGGTTCTTGCATCTCTGGGAAGCTATTTTCTGTTTGGTAAATGGTACTTCACCTGGTGAGTGAAGAGTGGGTAATGATGGAGAGAACAAGACCAGACATGCGGTGAAACAGAATAGAGAGAACGATGATGATAATGATGATGATGAGGAGGAGGAGGACATTCAGCCTTGCTTTTGCTTCTAGACTCTGTCCACAACTCCTACAATTTCTTCGTTCACTCTTTTCATGACAGAGGGAGGGTTCAAAAGGGAGATGAATGTAAGCCCCATGCTTTTTCACTCTTGGAGCATTTATCTTCCCCCTTGTATTTGCTTGATTTGTTCTGTTCTTCGCAGATATGGGAGTACACCCTTTGTTCATGAGACACTAGTATGTGTGTTTTTGAACTGAGAAAAGGTAAAACAGGGGCTTGCTGTATAAAAGATTTAAGAGGATGAGCACAAGAATTCCTTGTTTTGATATTTAGTCTTTTATCTGAAGTGTCTGTAATCAATAAGCTTTCTTATTGCAGCAACAACCTAGTAGTTACACAAGTCAGATGAATCTAGGTATTATTAAATGTACTTTGATACTCTGGTTAAACTGTCATGTCTGGACTAAATATTCTCCCTCATTTAGAGTTTTTAACACTGTTAACACATTTTAGTATGTTAAAGGAATAAAATATTTTTTCACTGTCCATTGTAATTTACACAGATGTCCTAAACAGCTAATATGCAGAACCTTTCAGAACTTTTATTCTATAAAAAGCAAAATTGCACTGGATGTTGATGAACGTTTGCATTTGAAAGCACCTGTCCAACTTTATATTAGCAACCCCAACCCTTCCCCTAATATCAACTGGATTTTAAAACCTTTATGTTTCAGTTAGTTGTTTACTACAAAATGTAAAATTGCAGAAATGTAAAAAAAAAATCCCACTTCAGTTGACAGATGTGTTTTTCTAAAATTTTTGTGCAGTGTCACTGGAGCTTCAAGATGCACATTTATATGTGGAGCTCCGAGTTGTGGCAGCTTATTCCCTTTGATTTCTGGCCCAACTATAATACGTCTGCTGTGCACTTCTGTCTCCTCACAGGAAGACGCGTTTGCCTTCGCTAACCAGGTGGGGTACCCCTGTCTGCTGAGGCCCTCCTATGTTCTGAGGTAGGTTTTAATATATCATAACAACCAGACTAATCTTGTTTCCCCATCACAAAGGTTGCGGTAGTTCAGATTCTTATTCCATCAGCAGTCTCTTAACTGTAACTGTTGCATATTAATCATTAATACTTTAAAATATATAGATATTTTTAGATAATTTGCTTCATCTTTTTCCAAAAAATATAGACTGTAGTGGCCTGCAAGTATAAAATCTAATCAGAATTTATCTTGTGCCACGTTTCTGTCCTAAATAAATACACACTAAGTGCACCCTTGGTTTTACTGAGACTTGAGAGGGAAATCAATGGAATTTCTTAACAGCTAATTCACAGCGTAATTACTAGATGGATAAAACAGATTTTAAGTTATGATGATTAATGAACTTCATTCACTCAAACGCTGCTTCAGTCATGCAGTGACACTTTTGTCCAGAAGGTGTCATGATGGCACCCTGGATTCGGCAGGCAGTCTGCTGTCACCGAAAACGTATGTTTCTACATTCAAGCTGTGATGTTGTTTTAAACAGGATTTGTCTATTCACTGCAGGGGACTGTGGGAAACCCATGAGTTCTGTGCACGAGGCAATATTAATGTAATTCAGTCAAGTGATATGTACCAGTATTAAAGTGTGCTTCTGTTTGATGCTGAAGGAACTATAATCATACCGTTTATGATCGAATGAAATGAATAATAATCCACTTACAGTGACTTCTGTTGAATACCAGTGGAGTGGAAGCTCCTCTCTTCTCCGTAGCATCAGTGTTCGATGAACTCATCCTGATCTTTAGCATCCCTACAGCTTTTTTCACTTTTTTCCCTCTGACATGCTTGCTAATATATTTTGAGTGTTCTGCTCAGCCTCAGTACATATGCAGAGATACTCAGATTTACACACTAAACACTCTCATCCTTGTCGGAATCATACTTCAGTTTTCTGTAGAAGTAAAATGTGCACACAAACGACAAAAGTGATACTATTTGCATATTTAACTTAATCTTTCCATTTAGTTGTGTAAACATTTGCTTAGTATTGTTACTGCTGTGACAAGCAAAGCAGACTTTAAACTAGTCTATAGTTTTACCATTTTATGAAGGTCGCGTCTTTTAAACATGCATCTGAGATGAAAATACAAAGTGCAAATGCAAAGTCCTGAAGATTTGCTACGCGTGTGAAATATCATCCGTGTGGGTGAGTTACCATAGTCGCTTTTATTAGTGGGGGAGAGGGGACAAAAAAAGCATCAAGTGAGTTTATTGCACTCCAGTTGTTTTAATAAGTGTATGATATGGTGAAACGTCTCTGACTGGGAGCTAGCTGCAAGTCTTGGAAGTTGAAATCCCATCAGAATGTGAAAGTAAACAAACGAGGGTTTACAACTGAGCACCTAATTAATACTTACCACTTTCCAACTGGCCAACCCTAACTAACGTATTGTCTGTCAGACATTAGGATCATTTTACATCAGGCATGTGGCCTTTTACTGAAAGTTGGTTAAGATTAAGACAGCATTTTTACTTACTCCTTAAAAAAAGTCTTGAATTTTCAAAGTATGATGATTACCATTACATTATCCAGCAAATGTGCACCTCTTTAGAACTAAAACTCATTGTGATCACAACTTTTACTAATCCTGCTAATACTGGACACATTATATGCTGGGCTAATGGATGGAAAGACATTAAAGCATAGACATTTTAGGGGGTTTTAATAGAATGCTGACTTTTGATTTTGGCCAACACTGGACACATAAGCCATCAAGTTTTAACTCAGCAGCACTTACACAGCATGCTGAACAGCTTTAATCTTAATGGCTGGATACATTTGAATGTTCCGAGAACAGTGAGGCAAAAACTAGATGGCATCTGAGTCAGTTATATGCCTTCATTTAAATGCGATATAAATATATCACTGGTTTCCTGAATGAAGGGTCAGTTTTGTGTTGGGGTTTAGACATACAGTATATCTGCCTCTAAGCTACAGAGAGCTAAGGTATAAAGCTCTGACCCAAGCATGAGGCCTTCCTTCATCCTGTTTCACTCAACCACGCTTTTTCTATCAGGATGATAGCCCAGCTAGCAGTCTAAAATCAAAAACAACAACCACAACAAAACTAGCCTAAATCCATTGTTTTTTAATGATGAAGATCTGAACTCATTTTCTAGAGCCTGGAGTGCTTTTCGACCTAAATAGCTGTTCTTCTCCCAGTCTCTCTCGCTCCCTCGCTCCTTATTTCAACTGTTTCCAGACCTTGTTCCTGATGGTAATAGTGATGCAATGGAGAGATAATGAGTGTTTTTGAACAATCATTTGAAGCTTGTATGTTCTCCTCTTTTGCTTGTTTCTCATCCTCTCCTGTGCCCTTTTGATTTCCCTTCCCCACTCTCTCTCCCTCGCCTGCATCGTGCCAGTGGCTCTGCTATGAACGTTGTGTACGGTGAAGAGGAGATGAAACGCTTCTTGGAAGAGGCTGCACACGTGTCCCAGGTGAGCTCACTCTTAACTATGTGTACTTACCTGCACCTGCAAAAGAGACATATTGCGATAAAACTCTGTCTCACCCTTATTTATTTATTTATTTTTTCTACTGGTCCCTCTGTCTCTGTCTAGCATATACAATCACATTAATTTTGCACAAAGTTGTCCCTTTGCTTTCAATTAACTAATTCTACCAGCTGGCAACGGCTGTTGACTAGTATTATGTGCCCATCTCTACTCCACTGAACACCTAGGCAGCTTGGAGGCAGTTGGCCCCTCCAAGGGCCTTTGCTTAGGGCTATATGCGTACACACATGCACATTTTACACCTTCAGAGCACCAAAGCAAACCTTTTCATGGCATTTTAATAGACTTGGAACAAGGCAATAATCACAGCCTCTTGTAGTTAAAAGAAAAATAAGGAAAAATGTGTGCAAGAATAGAAATATCTTATCTGCATACATGGATGAACTTAAGCTACGGGGATCAGGTGTTCAGTCTGCTGTGTCGCCTGATGCTGATGGTGGCCAGGGAAGTGGACGCTGTATGCAATGTGTTAGGGACCTGAAGCATGGTGAGAGGGTACACATCCATGCCTGGCTAAAAACAAACCCTAGTCAGCCAAATCTCTCCAGCAACATTATTGTTGTGCTGTTCATTGACTGCCTGTTCTTCAACGTGACTGACAAGAAGTTGAAATTACGGTGTATAAAAGAAAAATGCAACACCTGGGCAGTGTCACCTCTTTTTCTTATGTTTGAATGAGGCAGACCAGATGTTACAGTGACTCACCATCACCTCTTCGGGGTACAATGTGTTGTAATGTAATGGCAGATGGCTAGCTGTTAACAAAAGTAACTGCCATAACCCACTGTACACTGCTTTCTCAAGTGATGGCAAAAAATGGTAAAGCATTTAGGAGAAGAGAGACTTTCCTCAGAACTGGGTAGAATCCAAAAACTAAAATTATGTTGATGTTGGCACTAGGCCAGAAACTGAAAAGTTCTCTTCATAAGATTCATATCTTCTCAATATGAATATACACAACTGAGTTTTGTTTTTCCCCCACAAATGAATAACCTTGCTTGTGACTCTCTTTCAGGAGCATCCAGTTGTCATCACCAAATTCATACGTGGTGCCAGGGAGGTGGAGGTAGATGCTGTGGCCAAGAATGGCAAGGTGGCTTACTCTACAAAGGCATTACTGGCAATACAGGCTAAATATACAACATGTGCTAAGTGTTTAATTATGAGGTTCTTACAGAGCTCACACAAAGTACCCGACTATTTAAACAGTGTGTGGCGTTGTTTAAAATATGACCTGTCCTAATGTTCTGGACTCAGTTTTTTATTTATATTGACAGTACTTTTTTTTTTTTTTTTAAACATATATTCATTTATAGTATTCACAACATTTTTATTCATCTCTATAGCCTGGCATTATTCAGTCTTCCATTATTCCTTAGTTTAAACGGAGAGGTAGGACAGATATTGAGCTTAGAAGAAAAATAAAGTGGAGCTAATCTCATTCATCTTGTATGAAAAACATCACAGCCCAGATAGATCTGATGGGAAGAATGGAATATATTAAAACCAAAGTACAGGAAAATGGTGGTACTAAATTATTTTTTCTATTTATATTGGATCAGTTAAGGATACTTTTAAATGATTCTGCTTCAACATACTGACTTTTAAATCTGACAGTTCACACAGATTTAGTTTTCCATTGCTTTGTTACTGGATTGAACTGCTGTGTTGTTACTCTGTCATGTATGACATGCACATACAATAACTATGCACAACTTGGCTTGTTCCAATGACTGCTTGAAGGAAAACTCTAATTCAAAGTGCAGTCCAGTTAATGCAATATCAGAAAGGTCAGTTATGCACTGGATGTACACTATATTAGGTACACCTTGTTAGTACTGTGTTAGACCCCCCCTTTTTGCCTTCAGAACAGCCTTAATTCTTCATGGCATCAATTCAACAGTGTTGTGGTAACATTCCTCAGCTGCAGATTTGTGTGCAGCCAACAAATCTTCTACCACATCCCAAAGGTGGTCTATTGGATTGAGATCTGTTGAGTATAGAGGCCGTGAACTCATTACGTTGTTCAAGAAGCCAGTTTAAGTTGATTTGAGATCTGTGACATGGTGCATTATCTTGCTGGAAGCAGTAATCAGGTAAACAGTAGGTTGTGGCAGTTAAAAAATATTTAGCTGGTACTACGGAGTGTGGGAAGAAAATATTACTAGTGGTGTGTGGATCGATATTGAAATATTGATTCTTCCGATACCAGTAATTTATGCTCTAGAATCGATTCTCATATTAAAATATCAATATTTTAGTACTTTGGGGTAAATTTGTAGTTTATCATTAACAGGAACACAGTGGAAAGAAACTATATCATTCGGATCATCTATATTGGAAGGAATTACTTCCTCTTACGCCTTTCATAGTCATATGCGAAATACGGCTGTATAAATGTGTCGCAGCCCCTTGGCGTGCACACGCACAACAATGGCTGAGCGTAAACAGAGTCATGCGTGGACGTATTTTACCTCCACAAACAGCCGAGACGCAGTTTGCAATACATGTGGCAAGACAGTGAGGTGCTGTGGCAACACCACTAACCTTGTCAAACACCTCAGAGTAAATCATATCACAGAATATGACGAGCGTATGTTGAGGCGAACTGAAGAGGAGGAGAGGGACAGGTGCTGCTAGGGCGAGACAGACGTCTCTCACGGAGTCCTTTAGTGCTGCAGGCAGGCAAGGTGTTCAAATAGGCACAACTTCAAGGTTTTTTTTTTTATTTCTATATGATAATTCTGCATTATTAAGCAGTAAGAACAAGTAGTCTGATGTCCTGTAATCATTATGAAGCTATATTATATTATTATTACAATTACATAATACAATTATATATGAAATATAATGAAACCGTTTTTGTACAAAGTAATAATAATAATAATAATAATAATAATAATACTAATAATACATTTTATTTTTAGGCGCCTTTCAGACCCTCAAGGTCACCTTACAGTAGCACGTAAACAATACCATAAAAAAACATAAGAAAAATGTGTATATATAGCAAACACGGTAGATAAAATTTAGACACAAATAGTCATAAAAGTATCAAAGCAAATATAAAAACTGAGCAAGGTAAAAATGGCCTAAGACAGATCAGGTGTATGCAATTCTAAACAGATGGGTTTTGAGTAGTGATTTAAAAGTGGTGAGACAGTGTGTGGTCCGTAGAGCAAGTGGAAGTGCATCCAAAGTCTCGCGGCAGAACAACTAAAGGCTCTGAGTCCCATGGTAGTCAGGCGAGCAGGTGGAACTGACAGAAGGGAAGCTGAAGAAGAGCGGAGTGTACGAGGGGGTGAGTATGTATGGAGAAGATTGGATAGATATGGAGGAGCAAAGTTATGAAGCGGTTTGAAAGTGAGAAGCAGGATCTTGAAATTGACACGGAGGTGAATTGGGAGCCAATGGAGCTGTTTAAGAACAGGTGTTATATGTTCACTGGATCTAGTTCTGGAAATAATACGAGCAGCTGTATTTTGAACCAACTGCAGTTTATGGAGGGATTTATGAGGTAAATCATAGAGAAGAGAATTACAGTAATCCAGCCGAGATGTGACGAGCATTGACAAGTATGGCGGTACTGTGTCGTGTGAGTGAGGGACGAAGACGGTTAATATTACGGAGATGAAAGTAGGAAGACAGAGTGACATTATTTATATGTGCTGTGAAGGACAGTGCTATCGAGAATGACACCAAGACTCTTAACCTGAGGGGAGGGTGTGACAACAGTTATCAATGGATAACGAAAGACTGGTTGGAACTGTAGTCAGTTTTGATCTGGTGCCTATTAAAATGATTTCTGTTTTATTGCCAGTAAGTTTAAGAAAGTTGTGAGTAAACCAGACCTTGATTTCACTTAAACAGTCAGAAATGGATGTGGGTGGGAGAGTAGCTGTGGGTTTGGAGGATGGGTAGAGCTGAGTGTCATCTGCATAGCAGTGAAACTGGATGTTATGCTTCCTAAAAATATTACCTAGGGGTAGGAGATAGATAATAAAAAGTAAAGGACCCAGGACAGAGCCTTGGGGTACACCGGAATTAACTGGAGTAGATACTGATCTGTGAGGGAGTAATTGAACAAACTGTGAGCGGCCAGAGAGATGAGAAGTAAACCAGGCGAGTACTGTACCATCGATGCCAATAGATGCTAATATGTGAAGGAAGATGCGGTGGGAGATCCAGAATCAGCTGCAAGCAAAAGATCATTGGTGATTTTTACTAGGGCTGTTTCTGTACTGTGACATGAACGGAAGCTGGACTGAAACTGTTCGTACAAGTTATTTCCAATGAGATGATGATGAACCTGTGCAGCCACTATCTTTTCAAGAATTTTTGCTAGGAAAGGGAGATTTGAAATTGGCCTGAAATTATTTAGTTTGGAGGGATCTGAACCTTTTTTTGTTTTTCTTTCTTTCAGTATTTGAGTTATTATTGCAGTTTTAAGAGAAGAAGGAACAGAACCAGATATAAGAGAGGAGTGTACGATATTAGCAATCAGTGGGGCAAGAGACGGGAATGAGAGTTTAACAAGATTTGTAGGCAGTGGATCAAGTTTACGTGATGATGAATTTAAGTTAGTAATTATGGAAGATAGCTGAGTTATTGTGGGAAGTTCAAAATTGGATAGAGAGGATGACAGCTGAGAAGGACAAAAAATGCAGATAGAACAATTGACCATTTCACAGGACGAGGGCAATTGTTGATGAAGATTCTCAATCTTGGTGTTAAAAAAAAAAATCATAAATTTGTTGTAAACGGTGGCAGAGTGTGTATGTATGGCAAAGGTATCTGGGGGTTTAACAATATTATGCAATGTAGAAAACAAAGTGAGAGTGTTTCCTTCAGCAGATTCAATAACAGGTGTAGTAAGCAGATTTAGCAGGATGAATAGCTTCTTTATAGTGTTGTATATGACTGAGATACATGTCCTTGTGAATAGTAAGTCCCGTTTTCCTGGAGAGACATTCCAGGCGGCGTCCAGTAGCTTTAAGTTGGCGAAGTTCAGATGAGTACCATGGCACAGAGCGAGAGAAAGAAACTGTTCGAGTTTTTTGGGGAGCCAAGGTATCTAAGAGGTTGATGAGTTCATTGTTATAGTGAGATACCAGGTCGTCTATGGAAGCTGAGGCATCAATGGTAGGTAAGTTATTAATGCCATGGGAAAGAGCTGATAGATCAATGCCCCTAATATTTCTAAAAGTAATTGAGCGGTTTTGTTTATTTTTGTATAGTGGGAGACTAGCGTTGAATAAAACTAATTTATGGTCTGAAAAAGATACAAGGCAGGATGGATCCATGCTTTCATGTTGTTTATGGCAACATGACCCTACCATTTAAGCAACATTTTTCTAGTGTTCCAGAGAACTGTTGCTCACCTGATATTTTTTTCTTCAGACCATTTGTCCTGCAGGTTTTAGATCTCACCCTGAGTCAACACACCTGAACCCATTCTCATTCCCAGGCCTCCGAAGAACTCCAAGACATGTTGAGGTCATTTAGCAATTTAAATAAACTGTGTTGGATCAAGGACACATCTAAAACCTGCAGGACACCTGCCCTCGAGGCCTGGAGTGTATGTTTCTCTAATGCATTTACCTAATCAAAAACAAAAACATTGACCTGCACATTCTGTAACTTTTCATATCATTTTCATATCATATTATTCTGAGTGTTCACTGAAGTGATCATCTCCTCCATGCTGATGCCAACTTGCCCACACCTTATTTAATACAGTAATTTGACTGTATAGGGATGAAGCTAGAGGAGATGAATACAAGCAATCTGGCTTGAAAAGATTTATTTATTTATTTTTGAATCCACTGTGAGTGGAGAAATGGATCCACAATGCATGACGTCACCCCATTCAAAGTAAACGTAAGGTGAGCGTTGACCTCTGACACCTACATATGAATCTGACCTTGCAGACGAAAACACTACATAGTGCTACAGTAATTTCACATTAAAGTACAAGCTGGTGGTCTAACTTTTTAATTCTTGTATAACTGTATCTGCAGTTTAAGCTGCAGTAGGCGAAGGAGCCACCAAGGTAATTGTCCTGAACGCCTTGTCTATTTTTCTATTGTTTAGACTGTGAGAGTCATTTCAAGGGTGTCATTTTGAACGTGGGCTCTTCAGTTGTATGGTAGATTTTCTCACTCTGCTTTCTCTGAATACAGACCCTCCTTTATCTTCAGTATCACATTAACAAGCTGTCCATTCATTGAATACCAAACAGGACTCATTACTTGAAGCTAGACTGTGTGCGTATGTGTGGGGGAGAGTAAAAAAGTCAGAGATAATACGTATTAATTACAGGCTCTATCTGAAGAGTGTTAATGAATGCCGTGGTTAGCAGCAGTTTAAATGAGCTAATGACACGGCAGCTCATTTACAGACACGCACACGCACTCACACACATACAGAGTGGCTTGGCAATATAGATCTTCTTTCCTTTGGGTGAAATTTTGGAAGTTTTTCAGACATAGTTATATCAATGTACATTGTTTCAACAAATACAAGGCCTTTGTCTCAAACAGTGTTGACCTTGCTGAATTTATTTGTTTCTCCCACATGCACAATGCAGCAGTCGTCATCGTCAAGGTGGCTCCCTGTACGTTAATGCTACAGTTTTCTGTTGCGGCATACTGTATGTATGAAAACATCAAATCTGGAGGCGATTTTCCTTAAATTTGGAAACTTCCTCTTGGTCAACAGACCAAGGCTGTGAAAGGAGTATTTGCTTTGAACAGACATTTTTGTGTCTTATTAGAGCTGTGAGCTGCTTGCAAATGTTATTCTGTGCCCAGTTTACTCCGTTAATGTTTCTGCATGCGTTCGGGTGTGTCTTTTTAGGTTTTGGTTCATGCCATAACAGAGCATGTGGAAGATGCTGGGGTGCACTCTGGAGATGCTACCCTAATGCTGCCAACACAGACCATTAGCCAAGGGGCACAGGAAAAGGTCAGTTAAGTCACCTTAAAGTTGACACGGTGCACATTGCATATTCCCTTGTAGAAAGTGTCCAGTGTGTTATAGACACACAAAAAATGACATATAAAGAAATTAGTGTTCAACAAATTTCCAGATTGAGACCATAATTCAAATGGTTTAAGAAACAGTCTACAAAACAGTCGATCATCTGTTGAATTTTTTTTTTTTTTATGATATTTATTTAAAGCTAGTTTCACATTTATAGCTAAGTGAGGGGGGATGTGCCTTGGAATATTATATTCTTCTGTACTAATTCCTTTAAGTCCTGTAGTTTTAGGTACAAAATGAGCTTTTCATGTGTGTCTCTTGCTTTAGGTCTTTTTCAGCCCCATGCACATGTCGTTATGTTAGAACCAGAGCTGGTACTGCCATCCCTGTTTGTTGTTACAAACACAACAGTGTGAATAAGCAGAAAATGCAACCAATCAATAAAATGTATCCTGATGAAAAGGGTGCATCTGTCCATTAAAAAATAAATACATAAAAAAATTTTAAAAAAAAAAGGAAATCAAAACTGGCAGAATGGAAAGCAGCTTTAGTGATTCAAACTGGTTTTTTTTTTTTTTCTTAATCCATGTTGAGTAAGCAGTTTACCTTGCACTTTATGCTTTTAATGTTCTCCATTTGTGTTCAAACTGAAACAGTCTTATTTGATTTTTAAGTGTGTGGTTTTTTTCCCTTCGTCTTCTCCTCCTTCTTCTTTTAGGTTAAAATTGCCACCCGAAAAATCGCGCACGCATTTGAAATTTCTGGGCCATTTAACACTCAATTTCTGGTTAAAGGCAATGATGTCATGGTAGGTATATCTCTCAGTGTGTGACTAAAAAGACAGATTGACATTTTCACACCTGGTTTCAGCTAATGCAATTCACTCACAAAATGAAATCCCCTGTTGTTTAAAATGGTTGGCAAAGCTGGCCGAATTAATAATCAACCTTGCCTTCAGCTTTGGTGTTCAGCCACAGCGCACATGCACGCCCACTATTTGTGTGTAATCTGGCCATTTGTATAGTATATTTATGCATTTGTATATATTGTATATATTGTGTGTGTGTGTATATATATGTGTATATATATGTGTATATATATGTATGTATATATATATATATCTAAGTAACCTTAACTTAAATCGTTTTTTCTTTTTAAAAAAAGAAAGGAGAAAAAAAAAAACTTTTTTCAGATGACTATATATATATTTTTTTTATATTGCATCCTGTAGGTGATCGAATGCAATCTGCGAGCGTCACGCTCCTTCCCTTTTGTATCCAAAACAATTGGTGTCGACTTTATCAACGTGGCAACCAAAGTGATGGTGGGAGAGCCTTTGGATGAGGCCAGCCTTCCCTCGCTCGATAAACCCATCATTCCCGTGCACTACGTCGGAATCAAAGTAAGAAGGAAAACTTACAGCTTACAGCTGGGAAATGCACGACTGGCTTTCTTTGAATGTTTTTGTTTGTTATTTTGATGTTTTTCAGGGTACAGAGAGAATGGATTGGATTATAGACAAAATGAGTTTTAAAAAAAAGAAAGCGTAAGTGAGGAAGCACAATTGCAACTCTCTGTAAGTCTTTGTGTCCAAGCATGAAGAATGGAAAAGCAATGTAGGCTATAACAGCTTACTAACCTCTCATAGTTGGTCGAATTAATTGATAGTATTAATACATTTTAATAAAGTACTGATAGTAAAATGGTGTTAGGACCAGAGATGGGTCGATTACTTTTTTCAAGTAATGAGTAAAGTAAGGGATTACTATTTTAAAAGAGTAATTAGAATACTGTTACTTTCCCGTGAGCATGCTGCATTACTGCGTTACTAAACCGTGATTTTGTTTGTGAGAGTGTCTCATGACAATGACGTACGAGCGTGCGACGTCCGTGGTAGCAACAGACGTGTGTAGCTCAATAATGTATAATATGGAGAGCGGGAGAGAGTACGACCATTCAGTGTTTAAAGCTATATTTAATTGTTATCAGCTCTATTAACTGCTGTCTTCCTTTTTCTTCACTCCCAGAAGGTTAACTCTTCTTTTTTTCACTGGCTAGCCTCACTCATTACGTTCGTTTAAACAGAATCAGAAATGCCACTTGCAGTGGGAGCGACTGGAGTCAGGTGGGGCCCCCTTAGGGATGTGTGGTCTCTCTGATTGTCATTGCAAACTTTTCCATTGCTGTAGTGTAAAGTTTGCCTGGTGCCAAGCAGTGCCTCTGTCCAAGGAGGTCTACAAAATTGACCACCTGGGATACCAGACTTGCAAGGTTTTGACATACTGTTGCTGTTGTTGAGCAGCCCAAGTAGCCCTGTGATTCAACCCACAGGAGGCCACATAGTAGCTCCTGTGATCAGCCAAAATGTCCCCCAAGTGCTGCTCCGGTCAGCCTAAGTACTTGCCCTAAATTCTCCTTTGGTCATCAGCTGTCAATGCAAAGAGTCAGGTGACCCTGTTTTCAGCCCTTCTGCTTTTTGTAGTGGTTTTGTTTTTGTTTTTTTTGTTTTTTTTTCCCCCTCCAGTCTGGCAGTACTCAGGACTCTCTTCAGTGTGCCCATGGAACCCTGTGCTCAGCCCATTTTGCTGCCAGTGGGCACAAATGCTGCCAACGCACTTGTGTAATTGTGTGTTCAGTGTCATTCTGTGCAGGAAAAAATGGAATAGCTGAGCAGACAAAGGAACCGCTTTTATTTTTCATTATTTCAGCCCATGCCCATTAGAGTCTGTACACACTAATGTAATAGAAATTTAACCATGGTTCCATTATGCGCTTGCAGGAAATTCTTCAGATGTCACTTTTGTGTTTATGTGTGTACATTAAAGCAGTCGCCTGACACTTCAGGCCAAAACATGTTGTTAGCTCTCTGGCTTGAGAAATTACACAGATAGTCATTGTTAACACTCTGAAATTCAGAAGAACTAAATCATTTTTAATTCATTTGTTGCACTTTATTCTATTTGCACACTGAAAGCCTCTTTAAATTGAGTAGCAACAGTATTTGTACTGTGGTGTTATAAAATGCAGCTGTTTATTTTGAGATCAAAGCTTAAGCACCAGCCCTTTTTTTTTTTTTTTCAGTTTTTTCTTGTGGTTTTTTTTTTTTTTTTTTTTTTTTTTTTTTGCAAACTTAATAATCCTGACTTTTGGGTTTTAGGGCCATAAGAAAATGGTATCCATTCATTCTTCTCCGCTTATCCATTCAGGGTTGCAGGGGGGGCTGGAGCCTATCCCAGCTGTCTTAGGGTAACAGGCAGGGTACACCCTGGACAGGTTGCCAATCTGTCGCAGGGTTAACACATAGACACAGACAACCATTCTCACTTACATTCACCTATCACCATTAACTGCATGCCACTAACTGCATGTCTTTGGACTGTGCGAGGGAGCCGGAGTACCCAGAGATAACCCACACAAACATGAGAACATGCAAACTCCACACAGAAAGACCCCGGCCTGATGGTGGAATCGAAATCAGGACCTTCTTGCTGTGAGGTAACAGTGCTGAGAGAAACCAGTGTTTTTAACATTACAAGGTATAATCTTGTAACATCATCTTGATCATTTTAAGGTAAAGTTTAATCCTGAAAAACAAATATGAAGCCAAGAGGCACATCTCATTTTCCCTTCTATGAATTCACATGTACAGGGAGTGCAGAATTATTAGGCAAGTTGTATTTTTGAGGAATAATTTTATTATTGAACAACAACCATGTTCTCAATGAACCCAAAAAACTCATTAATATCAAAGCTGAATGTTTTTGGAAGTAGTTTTTAGTTTGTTTTTAGTTTTAGCTATTTTAGGGGGATATCTGTGTGTGCAGGTGACTATTACTGTGCATAATTATTAGGCAACTTAACAAAAAACAAATATATACCCATTTCAATTATTTATTTTTACCAGTGAAACCAATATAACATCTCCACATTCACAAATATACATTTCTGACATTCAAAAACAAAACAAAAACAAATCAGCGACCAATATAGCCACCTTTCTTTGCAAGGACACTCAAAAGCCTGCCATCCATGGATTCTGTCAGTGTTTTGATCTGTTCACCATCAACATTGCGTGCAGCAGCAACCACAGCCTCCCAGACACTGTTCAGAGAGGTGTACTGTTTTCCTCCTTGTAAATCTCACATTTGATGATGGACCACAGGTTCTCAATGGGGTTCAGATCAGGTGAACAAGGAGGCCATGTCATTAGTTTTTCTTCTTTTATACCCTTTCTTGCCAGCCACGCTGTGGAGTACTTGGACGCGTGTGATGGAGCATTGTCCTGCATGAAAATCATGTTTTTCTTGAAGGATGCAGACTTCTTCCTGTACCACTGCTTGAAGAAGGTGTCTTCCAGAAACTGGCAGTAGGACTGGGAGTTGAGCTTGACTCCATCCTCAACCCGAAAAGGCCCCACAAGCTCATCTTTGATGATACCAGCCCAAACCAGTACTCCACCTCCACCTTGCTGGCGTCTGAGTCGGACTGGAGCTCTCTGCCCTTTACCAATCCAGCCACGGGCCCATCCATCTGGCCCATCAAGACCTTGGCCATGTCTCTGAGTATTGCACACCTTGTGCTTTTGGGCACTCCAGTGATGTTGCAGCTCTGAAATATGGCCAAACTGGTGGCAAGTGGCATCTTGGCAGCTGCACGCTTGACTTTTCTCAGTTCATGGGCAGTTATTTTGCGCCTTGGTTTTTCCACACGCTTCTTGCGACCCTGTTGACTATTTTGAATGAAACGCTTGATTGTTCGATGATCACGCTTCAGAAGCTTTGCAATTTTGAGACTGCTGCATCCCTCTGCAAGATATCTCTTTTTGGTAAATGGTAAATGGCCTGTATTTATATAGCGCCTTACTAGTCCCTAAGGACCCCAAAGCGCTTTACATATCCAGTCATCCACCCATTCACACACACATTCACACACTGGTGATGGCAAGCTACATTGTAGCCACAGCCACCCTGGGGCGCACTGACAGAGGCGAGGCTGCCGGACACTGGCGCCACCGGGCCCTCTGACCACCACCAGTAGGCAACGGGTGAAGTGTCTTGCCCAAGGACACAACGACCGAGACTGTCCAAGCCGGGGCTCGAACCGGCAACCTTCCGATTACAAGGCGAACTCCCAACTCTTGAGCCACGATCGCCTCACTATTTTTGACTTTTCTGAGCCTGTCAAGTCCTTCTTTTGACCCATTTTGCCAAAGGAAAGGACATTGCCTAATAATTATGCACACCTGATATAGGGTGTTGATGTCATTAGACCACACCCCTTCTCATTACAGAGATGCACATCACCTAATATGCTTAATTGGTAGTAGGCTTTCGAGCCTATACAGCTTGGAGTAAGACAACATGCATGAAGAGGATGATGTGGACAAAATACTCATTTGCCTAATAATTCTGCACTCCCTGTATTATGAACAAACAGTATAATTTGATAGAGTATAGTATATTGCATATTTTGGCTGTCTCAGAAATCTCAGAAACACCAGTTTCTGTTTTGCAAATGGGCAGGGCAATCCAACGATACTGTGGTAGTTCGCTGTCACTGAGCTTCAGGTTGCACTATTTCACAGATTTCTCTAGCGGTCTCCTATAACCCCTGTAGTTTGCATCAGACCACAAACACAATGGTGACTTTAAAGGGAACAAGTGTTTTGTGTGAAAGAGTTATTTACCTTTCCTTAAAAATACCTAACTGCCATATCCTTATCCTGTATGGTTTGTAAATGAGTTCGTGTTTAGAGCCTTACATGTATGGTATTGTTATACATACTGCAGGCTGCACTAATACAGCTTGCGTTGGCTCACATAACAAAGACAGCAATTACTCCTTCATCGTTATACCTAGGCATGATGAGGGGACTAGTACCTGGCTTTCTCATACCAACTGGGAGGCTTACTTCTTAGACTGGGTATGAGAGCGTTTACGTGTCGCCAGCTGTTCAAAAGCTATTTTTTCTGAAGTAATTTCTCTCTCTAATTACAACAGAGCTGCTGTAACAATGGTTGTAGTTTGAAACCAATCACGCAGGCATAATCCCCAACTCTTCCCCACCACCTAAAGTTTTCAATTTCCAGTCTGCGCGATGGTAAGGAATATTAATCAGAGCTCTGAATTCTCCATGCGCCAGGCTTAGACTTCCAGAGTTTATTTGGAGAATATGACACAGGCTTCATACCCCCTGACTGATATGGGACTTCTTTGAAACCTTGCCTCGGTGCATTTGAGGTGTTTTAACAAAGCAGAGCTAATTTTCTTTTTTCCTGTTAAACATGTTTCTTCCACAACATCAAACCTGACTGCAGACAGAGTCGAAAAAAAAAAAAACCTTATCCAGCAAAAGTGCCCTAAAGTGTGTTTGATCAGTATATCCCCTCTCACCACCTTTAT